TGGCAGGCTACACAACTGGTCACTCCATCAATACCTCATCCTCCTCCTCCATATATATCAGCTGACCACTAGACAGAGATTGCGTGCGGTGCTGTTTGTGGGGGTCAAACGGGTCCACTATGATTGTCTCCGTTCCCTTGATCTCTGCTCGGCAGAAGGGGCAGCCCTGGCCTTCTGAATCCTGGAAAAGAGGAGAGGTGTTAAAAAATAAATCAGCAGCAAAAAAATAAATGTATAAATAAATTCTCTTCAAAATTATGATAATTATTTTCTTTCCTTTACTTTACCATACTACTTTAAGTCTTCTTATAGTCTTCCATAAAAATAAAAGCAATAGCAGTATACATATATAAATAAAAAAAATCACCATGTACTTTTAATGTTTATGTCAATCTTAAGTAATTCATTAATAACATACGCAAGTCAAAAATGAGAGAAGAGATACAAAAATATCCAAGGTGGATATTAAGACAAGTGGTTCAAGAATAAGAGAATACAAATAAGTCTAGAAACATCCAAAAGATACAATAATATATACATCTAATATTCTATTTGATTATTTGAAAAGAAATACAATTGAAATCATTCCTTACCTTAAAACTTTCAAAACACTTTGCTTACTATCAAGGACTCCAATCTAAATATACATTTTGTATTAATCAAAAGTTAAGCATCATATCATACATGCAGAGCAGTTACTGTTTTCACTTCTAAGCAGATTTATCCCTAAGCTCCCTCTATATAGGTAGAAACAATTATATATAATTTTCTTTCATAGATGGTAAAAACAGAAGCTTTTTTCAAGTACTTAATCATCCATCCACAATCATAAATGCATATTCAACATAAGAGAGAGCACACATGTGCACGCACGCACGCACGCACTCACTCACTCACAAAAGTACAAAATGTGTTTTTATACCCATGTAACTCTTAAGCAATGACACCTCTCTCTCATCATCTAAAGCTTTTCTTTGGTTCTCAACTCCCTGGCCCTAAAGGAAGATAAATGTCAACCACATCTAACTTGCCTGCCATAACATTAAACACGGCGTACAGAGGAGATGGCCACACGGTTCTATTCTAATATCCTTGTCGTTTTCTGCACAGATTTTGCAAAGCTGGAATGTGGACCCCATTTCACAGTACAACTCGTACTGTTCTTGAGTAACCTGCAGAGGAAAACATAGAAATCCAGTGAACCAATATCAAATAAAATCAAATAAAAAATATAGAAGCATAGTAACACATGAAAAATGGATAAAATAATGAGTCAAAGCCTATGGCTATCAACATTTTCCATGTCAAAACACTACTGCAACAAAGAGATATCAAGTCTCGACTGGTGTGTCAATGATTCACAAGGGCCCTGAATGAATCAACCAAAAATGAAAATTTATCACTTATTTTTGTTACTGGCAGAAGGCTTAAACTTGTTACTGGTGATGGGGCTTTTCTAAAATCATTGATAATAATTGCTAATAATAATAAAAATACATAAAATAAACCTTAGAGACCAAAATCCTCACCTTTATATGGTCCTCTGGAGTGTCTTGTACAACCCAAGACAAGTCTGGATTTATATTCCGCCCGTCGGGATACAAATAACTGCAAAGGAGAGGATGTGTCTTGTTTAATTTGATTCAGTGTTTGTGATTATGCATTCCCTGAATTAAAAAAAGAAAAAAAAAAAAGATCTGATTACATTTATACATCCTTGCACTAATACATTTTACAGCTTTCACTCTAACCTACACTCCCTTGATGACAAAAATACATGCTAAGTCCACTTTAATTTTAGTTTAATAATTATTTTTACACAGAGAAGGCTAACAAGTGCTTAATTACCAAGGAGTCAACTATTAGTCCAACTTCTCTCTCCTGCTTACCTTTTTCCTTGATTTTTTGAAAGATTTTTTGATCATTTTCAAATTCTTATTGTTTTCAGTATTCAAATAACATTTCAATAATCATAATGTCAAGGATGGCTTATACATACTTAGCATGCCCACTGTGAGTTTAGTTACTGGTTGGCATGTACGTACATGCCATGGCTGTTGTGGACAAAGTAGCAGGTGGCTTCATATCAAGACTATTCCTGCACTGTACATTTTTTGCAAGCAGGGGAAACTATTGATGAGTGCCAACAAACCTGCATCTTTACACATAGATAGCTCTCACTAATGAGCCAATTACGCATAGCTACTACCTATCTCATCTGCTTACCCTTTTCCTTGATTTTCAGAAATATTTTCTGTTATCTATATTGCCGTTAGTAATGTCACAAAAAGAGCATCCACTGATGATAGCACTAGTGAAGAAAAAAAAATCCCACTAACTCAAGAAAAGGAGAAATCAGATTTACTAATTGACTCCTTAGTGGCAAAGCAGTTGTGGAGCCTCTATGTGCAGAGACATATCACAAAGCAATACTAAAGATAACACTACAACACAACATGGGATTATTAGTATTGAAAAAAAAAAAAAAAAAAAAAAAAAA